AGTTAGTCTACGGCTACAGTCACCTCCAACTTAACATATGATCAGTTGATAAACCTAAAGTAGCAGATATCCAGAGGGAGCTCCATTTGATGAAACGACATAGGGCATTTGACTAAATTAAATAATTTCCAACTATTTTTAAAGCTAAAAGCAGAATCGTAGTCAAGAAACTGACTAGATACCTGCGTAAAGTAAGAAATGATGGATGTGTTGTTATGCTGAAGTGAGATTGACTTTTTAAAAAGATGATGTAAAGGATGAGCTTTACAACTATACATAACAAGCCAGAGGGGTGTATGGTAATCTATATCGCAATAGGCAGGGTCAGTCTGACCATGAATGGTTGATGCATGTAAGTAAGCCTCTAAGTCTAAAACTTGACTGCTGGAAGTTAAGTATGTTCGACAGTTATCGTCTTTATTCGATAACTATGATTCAATTGTAACAGCTATTGAAGTAATCCAGAGGTCCAGTTCTCGCATTTGGTGGAATCATCATGTGAGAAATGTTGAAGTTAGGCGAAAGGTACTAGGCAAAACGGGTAAGTCAATTGATGAGGTTTTAAACCTTAGTCGAATAACATGGCATGGAAATGCACCCCACATAGCAAGTCACCGCCTACCTTGATGTGCCATACTGAAGGAAGCTGGATTAGGTTGAGAGAGGGTTTAGAGTGACCAGACCAACATGTGGCACCAGTTGATGAAGTCTGCTAGTGTTGGTTTGAGTAGTGTGAGGTGTACACTGCCTGGTTGGGGTCCCCTAGACGAAAGGAATCAGTGACTGATGATTCTTAGTGATATAGTTGGAAATCAGAATGGTGTAGATGTATTCACTCCTTAAAATCTTCAGAAGCTTGAATATGTGCACTAACTTTTATCTTTAGGTTGTTTATTCTCTCACACAACTTTGTCTACTTTGATATTCCTCTTTCTCTATCCATCTGCTCTTTGTACACTACTATGAAGTATGGTCACTTGTAGTGATGCATCTGTGTACGAGGTTCTACGTTGATTTTATCTGTCAGCGTATTCTGGCACGATGGAGATCGTCATCCGGTAGACATACTATAAGCTGTGATGAAGAAATTAGATCAGTATGGTCTTATTTCTGAACACTAAAGGTTCCCAACTTAATTATATAGTAATGTATTTTTGAGATGAATGGGGATTTTTAATTTAGAAGTACATTACATTAGAAACACATTACTCTATAGTGCTCATTCATGACTTGCTTCCACATGGATGTCAGGAAGTTCTAATGAGAAGCTGTGACCTGTAGAACCAACCAAACCAGTTGGAAGTGAAGTGGATGCTAACTGAAGACCTTAGGTGATAGTCGCGCTATGTCGTGAATTGACAGAAGTTGAAAATTGTGAACCAATGGAAACCGATCCAGTGGCTGAATGGTTGACGCGTTCGCCGTGAAACCTGGAGGCCCTGGGTTCGACCCCTAACCGGGTCGTGGGTGCGTACTGCTGAGGAGTCCCATACTAGTCGGACGAAACAGCTTTCAAGTGCTCCCAGATTTTCAATGGTTCCCCAACTGATGTCGGTCCATGATGAATACTACTTCTTAATTACATAGCCTTATCTTTGAGGGAGACACCAAAAACCTGGTTACAGTCTTGACTAATGCTCGGAACAAGATTTTTACAAATCTTAAGTAGTACTCTCTCTTGATGTGTCACTTATTAACACGAAAACTAACTTTAAAGCTTATTTGGTCAACTACACACCTTAAAACCAGAGAGAGAGAGAGAGAGAGAGAGATACTCACATTTTCAATAGGACAGCAACCCCAAGCCTCCGTATCTAACTTGCAACAAGTTTGATCATCTCTACACCGTGACTTTTTATCCGGACACAATTGTATATCATTCAGTGTTGATGTGACCACAGAAATCAACTGAACATGGTTAAATGGATGAGAATCAACTCTAGAATTGAATAACAGTTGATGACTGAATTTACGCATTACAGCTCTGAAACATTCAAGAGATGAACAGCTAGCCTATGTACATAAAGAAAAGTTGTAGAACAACATATCAAGATAGATTATAAATAAGTGGATAAAAGAAACAAGTAACGATAGCTGAAGGAAAACAAAAGTGAATTGACAGGTATTCAGAGAATACTGAATACCTAAAACACAGTGGTCGCTGTTTCGAATCTGGCAGCAGTTCAAATTTTCACTTTACTTTCAATCATCACCCGGTAATCATTACTAGTCCGCCAAACTACAGGTATCTCAGATAGTCAAGTGATAACTATAAAAACCATTGTTAAAGAGTAATGAAATCTCATCAAAATTGTAGGTCTTGGTGAAATACGAGGCTGCATCGTGCGGGGTAGTCCATAACAAAAAAACCCGGTGTAATTCGCCTTTTGCTAGACCTATCACTTTACTCTTGGTATGAAAATTAAAATCAATACAACACCAAGGTAGGTTCAATGTGAGTACTAATTGTTTTTGTATACATAAAGCAGGGGGTTCAAATTTACGGATGACAAGAGTTTCAATAAATTTAAGCACTCGACCCTGACCACCTACCTTTGTGTAGTACTTTAAAGGCTGTTTACATGTCTATCCTAAGGTTAGTTTCTAGTATATGTTTAGTGATACACAAAGATGGATGTTTGTCACCTGCACTTATCTGTTGATGTGTTGACGTCATTTGTTTTTGATACCAGCCACTTAGGTACATATCCAACCTTCCTTAACTGCATATCACCATTACTCCTCCCTATGTATCCATGTACACACACACATTAATTTTTTAAAAGATTTATTGTTATTATTATTATTATTATTATTATTATTATTATTATGTAATGATACAGTTGAATTCACATTCGAGGGTGAACACTTTCAACAGATTCATGGCATCGCGATGGGTAGTCAGTCCATTAGGACCGTTGCTAACTGATGTATACATGTCATATACTGAAAACATGGCTGACAATCTCATCGGAAGAGTTTCACTTTATAAGAGATGTCTCGATGATACTGTCATTATATGTGAAAAGTCTGATAATGTGATGTGCCTGCTAAAGAAAATTAACACAGCTCAAAATCACATTAACCTGACTTGTGAACAAGACACGAACAACCAGCTACCGTTCCTAGACATATTCTTCAGACGATGGGAGGATGACCCGATCAGGAGGTCGATTTGTAAGAAAGCTACGTGGACATGGCAATATCTTTAATTCTCATACCTATTGCGTAGTCCAATATAAACATGGTTTAGTTAGATGCTTATTCAACAGAATAAACTGCATTTCCACCGATAACATCAGGGAGGAAGGAACCAACTTACTGACGACAACGCTGACACAGAATGGATACCCGTTGAGATTTATCCACAAGTGCAAAAGTTACCCACCATTGAAAAGTACACAGTGTTCCGTTGCTATGAGAGATGTCTACATCTCTTTACCATTTAGAGGTGATTCACAGAGCTTTGTTGTGAGGAAAAGACTTAGATTGGTCATTTGTAAAACGTATTATGCAGCCAAGGTCGTCATTGTGGAGAAGACCAAGTCCATGTTACAGCACAAACCAAAACAACATATAAACGATTACATCACATCCCACTATGTTTATGAATTGACATGTATTTGTGGACATGCATACATAGGGAGGAGTAATCGTGATATGAAGTTAACTTCGTTGACCCTTTTCGTGAATTTTCACATAAATAGTTCGACAAGTCCATGTTTGGGGGATCAGATTGTTCGAAATGTATAGCGCTAATACATCAGGGCATGTTTTAGATAATCTTCATCTTCTCATTATGCTGTTCAAGTTTATCAAAGTGACTTTTTGCTACAGAAAGTTATTTGATAACAAAAACCATGAAAATCTCAATGTTATGAGGTGAGACAATATCTGTCTAGATTCCTTAAACAAGTCTAGAATTCCATAAAAGTTTTCACAACCAATCACGGCACGCCGAACATTCATGAAAAACCACGTGATAATAAGTGTGAGTTTTTGATTGGCTAAAAAGTAGAAAATATCTAGGCCATTGGAAGCATATATAGACCGCTAATTTTTTTTTCGGACGTTCTACTTGACAATGAAGGTTTGTTAAGAAAGGAAATTATATACTGGCACAAGCCTTTCAGCGTTCATTTTTTTTTAACTTTTCCCTATATGTACTGCATCGCAGTCTTCTAATTTCATCTTATAAACACAATTACATTGTGAATCCAAAGGGATTTCCTCATTCAAAAGGACTAACGTGCTCTGTAATGGTGATGTGATATTGTATTAGTTGAGCATTCTCTTAATTTCATTCGATATGTGTGATCTGTTAGTGTCCTAGTATAGGACCCCTCAGCAGTGAGCACCCACGACTGCGTCAGGGATCGAACCCGCGCACAACTTTCAGGTTCCGTGGCCAAGACGTCGCCATTCAGCCACTGGGTCACAATCCAATGGTCCATATTTCTAACTTCTGTCAGTTCATGACATAAAGCAACCTCCATCCATTGTCATCGTTGAGTATCTGTCCTTACAACTATCAAGCTAGCCCCACTGATCACGACTTTTGCACTGGGGATTGGATGTAATGGATTGAAATCTAAATATTTGTTCGAATGTGTTGCTTCCTTGAAAATGGTTACACCTAAACTTTCATTTTCTTTCCGTTTAACAAGAGCTGAACTTCATACTGGATGGTCTAGAGTTGAGCTGATCTAACAATGTCTGGTATAAGTCATGTTTTAAAATTATAAATGTATCATCAACATGTCTCAGCTGCATTTTTGGCTTTAGGTTAGCTACTATGGATGAAACAGGTAAACTCACAACAACATCGTTAGTTTGCCTGTATAGTTTTGCTAAACAATTTCTACTAACCGTAATCATAGGCAATCTTTAAGTAAATAAAACATTCTTAGAGAAATGTCGATTGAGTTTTTAACAAAAGGAGAGAGACTGCCTGTAAGTAATGACTGAAATGTTCAATTTAATAAAATATTATTTCTTACATCGGTTAACGGACAACATGCCCATCCTTCCTCCATACTTTGACAGCATGTTGTATTAGATGGACACTCGAAGTATGGATCTGGGCACAATGTACCTGAATATGCCATGAAGTATTTAGCTTCCAATTGATTTGCTAACTTCTTTCCAATAATTTTAGATGGATTGATACGAGCAGATGACCAAGTCGGCATAAGATGTATATTTTGAAAGAAGTCATTCATTTTTGACAATTTATGAGGATAGCTCGAAGGTGTACACAGATGGTGAGTTGGATCACATACTGAACCATGCGGACAACAATGTTGCCCATCTGAACAACAAACAGCCTAAGAGCAAATAATAAAAAACAAATAATTAAATATTTTCCAATCAACAAAACACGACTGATATTTGTAAAAGATTACATATACTGAAATCACTACATGGATGACGTTTACTAGATTTTCATTTTTGTTAATACCACGAATAAAAATTTGTGATTAGTCAAAACCTGAAGTTACCTGCAACTAGAATGTTTAACTAACCAAATTCACAGACAACTGCGTTGCCTGTTATCCAGTCGAATCCTGAATAGAACATAGAGATAGCACAACCACCCCACCCCCCAACACTTTCACAAGTCGACAAAGCTGTAGGTAACCTGATACGAGGAAGGGCAGCAGGACCAGACGGACTAACTCCTGGGGTATACAAGGATGGTGGTGAGGTGCTCTTAGTCAGGTTAACCGAAGTGTAAACCAGTATCTGGGAATCAAATACGATCCCCTCTGACTGGTTTAAATCACTGATTAACACAGTCTTCAAGAAAGACCTTGTGATAACCATAGAGGAATCAACCTGACAAACATAGTGTCTGAAATTCTAGGTTCTGTAATTCCTCGACACTTGAGTTCGCAGGAGAATTTTCGTTAGACCGAGAATACTCAGATGACATAGTCCTGTTAGGTGAAGATGCTGACAAGATGCAGAGTCTTCTGAACACTTTGAGTGGGAATTTGAGAATGTTTAGGATGTTTCTCACCACCCCTATCCAAATTGTTGCTCCAAGATAGGTTTGCAACGGTGCCTCAGCTAATAATAGAGAGTGTAGTGGTTCAGTGTGTTGACCACTTCACTTACCTGAGAAGTGGAATCAGCCATGGTGTGTAGGTCAATGGCCTGTGAAATCTCTGCACAAATACAAGGGAATCGACTGGCTTTTGTCAACTTACGCCACTTGTGGTGCCGTCATGATATCCGGTTGTCGATTAAGGGTGATGTGTACTGCACAGCAGTCTGCTCTGTTCTACCGTATGACTGTGAAACATGGCTATTGAAGGTGGAAGATATGAGGTTTCAGGTGTTTGACCACCACTGACTTCATAGTAGAGGCCATATTTAGTGGTGTCATCACGTGAGTAACGCAGAAGTCGGTTGTAGAATTTTAGGGAGGAAGGAGAGGCAAGTCGGTTGAGGAGGTTGTGAACGTTGATGGAGTGAGATGTCTGGTTCGGACATGTGTTACGTATGCCTAGTCGCCATCTGCCTCGTCACACAATATTGGCCAAAGTAGGTTGAGGTTGGAAAAAGGCTCGGGGTGTCCAGACTAAAACATGGCACCAATGTATGAAGTGTTTGACCGTTGGTTTGAGCCATGTGGGGCGACGCAGACTGGGTGGTTGGGGTTGGTGGGACAAGAGGAACCAACGGTTTGAGAATGACTTTAGGTGATGATATGGGTGAGAAGCGATGTCAGTGGGGCAGATGTATGCACACATACACATTATCGTCATCTTAACGACACTATGCCGAATCTCACCATTTTCTCATTCTTCCTTTCTCTCTCTCTCTCTCTCTCTCTGTCTGTCTGTCTCTCTTTGAGTACTTTATATTTCTTTTGACTGAATTTCCTTTCTTCCTCTTGCACTTCACTGCTTTGTTGCTTGATGTAGTGATATGAGGTGTGGCAAGTTGGACTGTTACGCAGTAATGCCTGATCCCATGTTGATGATGATGACAAACTAATTAGTTTCCGATAACTTGGATAAGGATGACTGCAGGTAGCGAGTGTGAGTACGACCAAGCGGTAGTAACGTGTTACGAATTCACCTATTAGTCGGTCATAGCTTCACTTGTGGTTGAAATGAAATAAAAATCTGGTCAACAATCGGACCTCGTAGGTGAATTGGTAGATTATCGGGCCGGAAACCCGGTGGTTGCCGGCTGGAATCCGGCTGCCGTCAAAATCTTCATCTCACCTTCAAACGAATGAGTACCTCACTCATAAACTTATCTGATTGTCAGAAATACACATTTTCGAAGTCGTCTGTGTATAACTGACGTTTTTAATCTTTCAAGTTATTGATCTACATCTGTACGTTAATTAGATGCTTTTGGCATATGGGTTTCTTCTTAGATGACTACTCGTTAGTGTCTTCAACAAAGTACTGATTGGACCTTAGGTAGGAGCATGACATTGGGATCCCAAATACTCGCTTCTACTCATTTGGATATTCCCTATTAGCGACTACCAAACCTACAGTTAGTAAAGCAAGTAATTCAGCTTGGAAGTTTGTAAGGGTTTATGTGTTGATTACAAATTGATATTCATCATGGACTGACATCAGTTGGAGAACCACAACTGTTTCATTCTGATGCGAGACTCCTTAGCAATGAGTGCCTATGAACCCACCTTGCAAGGGATCAAACCCAGGACCTTTAGGCTCCGCGACCAGAACCTTGACATTGAGCCAGAGTCAAAATCCAGTGATCTGTATTCTCCTACTTCTGTCAGTGCACGTTATAGCGCAACATCCATTCAATTCCATCACTGAGTAGGTTCGCTCTACCGGTCACGACTTCTCACAGGAACTTAGAGAATCTCATCTCGAAGTAAATCACTAATGATGATGAATACCAATTTGAAATCAATAAATAAATCGCTACAAACATTCAAACTGAATTACTAGTCAGTGCTCATAAGTGACTTGCTTCAAGAAGAGGTCCCGGAAGTTCTAGTAGGAAGTCACACCCGTGAAGCGAACCGAGTCGGTCGTGAAGACAGTTACTCAACGACGGGATTGGATGGAGGTTGGGCTATATGGCGAACTCACAAAAGTAGAAAAATGTGGACCATTGGATTCCGACCCGATAGGTCAATGGCAAGGTGCTTGCCGCGAAATAGAAGACCCTGGGTTCGGTCCCTGATATGGTGCACACTGCTGAGGAGTCCCACGCTAGGATGAAAACAGCCGTTCAGTGGTTTCAGGTTTTCAATGGTTCTCCAACTGAAATCAATTGTACAGACTAGCTAGTTCTTACTATGTATCCGTTAACATCGAAATGAGAAAATACAGTGGTAGGCGATGCAATCGTTCATGTTTGCTGAGACCTACATTGAACTATGATCAGTGAGTAGTCCAAAGTCAGATGTATTTTTTTGTATGAAGACATTAAAGTTTATTTGAAAGATAATCAGTCATACTGTTTTTCTACTTAATTGAAGAGAAATGAAAGGATGTGAGCTTTGTCCTAATCGGGACTCGTCACTGGGGGGATGCAAGCACATTCAAATGATAAGTCACTGATGAAAAGAAATGCATATCCTGGATTCCACCGCAAGCCACCAAGTAAATTATAATATGATAAATATTGAGGTAGCTTTGAGGCATCCACATAGTAGTCCATCTGCAAACAGACATCGAGTAGTTCAACCCAATATAACAACGGAAGATTACAAATATCAATAAACAACAGAAACTAAGAGATTTTAGATTTCTAGATAGACAACTTAAAACTTTGCGCACAGATGTATCACTTCAAAGTAGTATAAAAAGGAGAAGTGGATAAAGAAAGAGTGATAGTGAAGTAAACAAAGTTATATAAGAGAATAAACAGTTTGAAGATAAAGGTTAATGCGAATATTCAAGCTTCAGTAGACATCAAGGAGTGAGGGAATACATCTACACCACTGTAACCGATTTTCAGCTATACTACCAAGAGTTTTCAATCATTGATTCCTATTATTATCTTGAGGATCACAGTCAGGTAGTCTATATCTCTCAACATGGCTCAGACTGACAGTCAATGACTTGATCGACTGATGTCACGTGTTGGTCAGGTTACCATGATCCCTCTTTCCAACCTTATCCAGCTTTCCCTAGAATGGTTAGTCGACAAAATCAGATCTCCAGTAGAGTTAACTTTTAGAATAGTTGAAACTCTGAGTGATTAACCTCTGCTTCAGTCAACAAGCGTAGCCAACTGACTACGCATTAGATATCGTTTGTATTTGTGGCGGTCACAGTGTGTTTGGAATCGAATAATTCCAATGTTGTGTTTGCACAGAAGTGTGACCCGAGCTTTTTCAAGGAAAATATCAAGGATATATATACCGGATTCAAACTAGTGGCCACCCGGTTCGAACCCGGGCCACGGTCCAAATCTTTATTTCAACTTCGATCACCACCAAGTATAAATATGATGACTAATGATTCCATGTTAAGTTGTATATCTCTTGTTGTATGGCTGGCGTGTGTGTATTCCAATTCAGATTTTCTTTGATTGTAAATATCAGACAAAAAGGTCACAGGTGATATAACAGTCATTCGGTAATTTTCATGATATACAATGCAATGAATGAGGAGGATATGTTGCCATTTCAGTTGGAATATCGGAGTGAATTGTATCAATGAATTTTTTTCCACTAATTTACCGGCAAAAGAGTGGAGATGAATAATGATAATGATGACAGTAGTAATGAATCAAATCAATCCAGATTGTGTTGTTGTTGATGCAGAAATAATGAAGTTGATACAAGTGTTGATCGTAAATGATAGAGTCACTCTTTCTGCTTAGTAAATAATAATTGCCAAGAGGGGCAGCTAACTGTACTTCATCTTGTCTGTCTGCCTGGATTCGCCCATATACGTGAGGCTTCGGCTATCAATCTTTCTTGGTATAGCCTATTTATATGGAGTGTAGCTCAATTGCGGATTTGTTTTCTAGCTTCTTAACCTCTGCTGAGATTTTTCAGATCTGCTTTAAACATAGTTTATGCTTCTTCACTCTTACATTTACCTGTCTGGATGTCTCCCCCACATATACTGCAGTACAAAGTGCGTATTTGGTCTCCTAAAAGCAGTTCTATTGATTCTCTTTAGGTACATCTTTAACTTTGATTAAGTTAGAGCATAGGATATTGGCTGCATGAAAGTAAACTCATGTCGTGTTTGTTGAGAATCCTTTTTATTACTTGCGAGGTCTCCTTACAGTATGGGATTATGACTGTTTATAAATGACTACGCATCGTTTGACACATGCCTATAGCACAAAACCATGCAATGACCACATGGTAACTTATCGCTTTGGGTAGATATGGCAACGTATGTTCCCGAGAACATCAGAGAATACGCCAGGCCAGATACTCTATTTTTCCAAAAAAGAAATGAATGGAAAACAGTGATCCAGTTTAAATAGCGCATAAAATAAACTTTCAAGTTAGTGTGTGATCAGTCTGTACCGAATCTATTGCGTTAATATGCATTACAGACCTCGGTTACTGAAATTCTTACGAGTTACTGCTCCTTACAAGATAAATGTACAGTTCTGAAGGATAGTTGGAGATCCATTTACATACGAAAAAGCTTTCAAGTAATCAATAGACAACAGTAGTATATGTAGGTAAAAATTCACTTAAAATTCGTTTCTGCAAAAAAAGCCATACGTTCAATACGATAACGTACACTTGAATGTAGAGAAAATTAAATAGATATGTAATTGTGGCGAATATTTGTAGATTAGAGTGTTCAAAGTGGGCTGTTCTCAAAGCCTGGGTCTTTCAGTTGGTAGACGTTTCAAAGTCATGCTAGACATCATCATTAGTGCAGTAGAGAGCTTCACAAAGAAGTGAAGTAATTGGTTTTGCCTGGATATTTATAACGTGCTACTTTGCCCGGGTGTAATCTGATTGGTTGTTTGACGAGTACCTGGGGGTATTTGGAATCTGATTGGTTGACTTCCTGCCTTTATATATGTTCATTTGAAACTTGTAAAAATCACACCCTTATCAGGATGTGTCAGCACTCCAAGTTAGTGTGTTGATTTCTGATGAGTATGAGGTTTTACATTTAATAATTCAGTGACTGAACGATAGTGATATGAAAATCTTGAAATCGAAGATGTTAACGGCTGAGAAATGCTAAAACAGAACCAGAATCGTGTTCAGTGCTGTTTGCTTTACAACAGCTAATTTTGTTGATGAGAATTACCATTAAGTCTTGTTCAAGAATACTTTTTAGCAGGCATCAATGGTGAATGGTTCGTTGAAAGCTAGTTTGAAGTGTGGTGACTTGGAGGACCATAATGTAGTAGTGTCAGGTCCTACATTGATGCTAAGTAACTGACTGTTCAAAGCTTACATTTATACTATATAATAGTCTAATAATAAACTTTACTTCTAGCTTTGAACTTTTCGATTATGGAATTGCGCTTCAACCGATGGTAATCATTCTTAAATTGGCCTAGCTCAGAAAACCATTAAATTGATTGCAAATTCATATCATTTTAATAAGACATGGCACGTGTAAACACATGTATACGAAACAAACTGGCAGCGGTCACCTTCAATCATCACCCAGTATAGATACTAGTCTGCTAAACCACCCCCATCTCACTCATATAGTCAAATGATAATCAATATGATACTCCCCCTCTCTAATTCAGTTAGATTTAGATTGGGATGAGAAGTCCTGACTAGACAGCCAGTGTGAATACGATCAAGCGGTAGTAACGCGACACGAATTTACATGGTAGTCAGCCAAAACTACGCTTGTGATTGAAGTGAAATAAAAATCAGGCCAGCAGTCGGACCTCGTAGCCCAGTTGGTAGAGTATGAGGCCGGTAACCCGGTGATCGCTTGTTCGAATCCGGCCACGGTCCAAATTTTCACATCACTTTCAATCACCCAGTATCAATACATGTCTGCTAAATCACGGCTATCTTAGATAGTCAAAATGAAAAACGAAATCACTTAAGTAAGACTAAAGTATTTTGTCTACTTCATCTACAGGCGAAAACTAACAAGTTGACAAAAGGGGCAGGGCAGCGAAAACGGGACTTCAAGTGAATACAGAGAAGATGGAGGTGATGAAGGTGCCCAACCAACAGCAGCATCAACAACAAGCACCAATCAGCATTAACGGGAGAAACCTAAAAGAAGTAGTCTTTCACCCACCCACATACCCAGGCAGCATCGTTTCAACTACAGGAGACACAGATGAGGATGTCAAAACCAGGATTGGAAAGACAGCAAGACAGGCTTTCATTAATCTGAAATGATCAGTGTGGAGATCTATTGCACTCCACTCAGCACAAAGAACAAGATCCGGATTTTCAACATCAATGTCAAGTCAGTGCTTCTGTGTGATGGTTCAGAAAGTTGGCGCGTCACGAAAAGCACTTCCAACAAACTAAAGACATTCATCAACAGCTGACACCTACGCTCACTCGATACTGAAGATCAGATGTCCAGAATAATAAGAATAAGCAACAAGGAACTCTGGTTGCCTGGCAACGAACCAACCAAGAACCTATGACCCAACAAATATGCACTGGAAGAAAGTGGAGATGGATTGCGCATACACTGAGAAGGCCAACTGGGAACATCACGAGTCCGGCTAGGCCAGGCCCTCGAGTGGAAGGCAAAGGGGAAACGATGAGTTAGGCGTCCCAGTTGAGGGTGACATGGAGGAGATCATGTGAGGAGGAAATGAGAGCTTGTGGGCAGTCGTGGAGCCAGGTTGAAAAGATTGGAGAGAAGAGAGTGGAATGGAGACGTGTTACTGAAGCCTTATGTTCCCACTCGGAACCCAAGGGAAAAATACTAATAATAATCATAATTTTGTCTACCCCGGCTTTAATACAAGATAATTTTAGCAGACTATGTTCCACATAATTGGACTGAAATCTAGTCAGCAATCTTGCAGACATTCGTGCAGTAGGCAATGAACCACACCTATTGTGGCGGCTTATGATACTACCTGGCTGTCTAAACCATCTCGGTAGGTGGAGCGATGTTTGGATCCGTGACCCATTGGTTGAAAGTCAACTCCCCAAACATATGGTCCACATATCTACACTACATTCTACAAACTTCATGTATTCGTAAATTAGGTTTAAAAAAATCCTGTTTGTTATATTCCCTTATACGGAAGATAAGTTTTTGAAAGTAACTCATCTAAATTACTTTCTATTACATTGTATTGTGATCTAAGCAAATACCGTATTATTAGTCTGAAAGGTATCAAGATAGTTAAGAAAGATAGTCCAAATAAACAATTCATACAAATAGATATCAGAAATAGAGTAATTGTAACCTTATTGAAAAAATTCATTAGTTGGACATACATTAAGATGCGGACAGCAACCCCATTTCTCATGCGACATTGGACAACACGTAGTATTATCAGTACACACAGACTGGCGATCAGGACAAATAACATTTTCCGATGAGATTTTCAAAGGGGCCGTGTAAGAACTTTTCTGTTTCGTTTTGTTAAGTTTCTGTAAATAAAGAGAAAATTATTATGTTCTACCTCGAAGAAAAAGCAAACCAAGCAAAAGAAGACATGTGAATTTAAAATCTGATTAATAAAGCCATTACTGTTAAAAAAGCAAACTATGCGGTAGAATCGTCATGTAGGGAGTGTCACTGTTAGGCAAAGAGTAATAAGGTAAAGATGGAAAGTTAGTCGATGAGGTTGTAAAGCTTCACCGACTGACATGGCTTGGATATATTTCATTCATTCTAACCTACAGCCTACCTAGACGTGCAATATTAACCAAAATAGTATTGGGATAAAAAGTCCGTAGTGGTAAGTGATGGGATATGACACCAGTCAATGAATTCTTTGATTGTTGGTCCGAGTCGCCTGAAGAGATGCACACTGCTTGGTTTGTCCTTAAAATAATATGAATCAACGGTTGGAGAATCTTGATGACGTGACTGGAAATTGGTCGCAGCTGCACAGACGTATTCATTCCTTGACTTCTTTTAAAGCTTGAATATTTGCACTAACCGTTATCTTCAGATTGCTTATTCTCTCACATAACTTTGTCTACTTAGATATCAATGTTTTTATTATTCACCTGTTCTTTGAGTACTACTATGAGGTATGACAACTTGAACCTTTGCACCTGTGTGTGAACGTTAATTTCGTCAATGTTAGTCAGTAAGATCACAGCACGATAAACAGCACGAACAAGTTAACCTAGATCATACCAAAAAATGTAAAGTAGGCAGAGTAAATGATATAGATAAGTGGGTCTAAGGTGCACCCAGTGTGTACGCTATAGGATACACTCAACACATTTTCTACAGTGAAGAGAGTTTACAAAGCATTTAATGTAGAAACTACCAACAGATTATCTGACAGTCGTTCACTCTTAACATTATATTTACTTAAGCTGAACACGGGGAGCCGTAGAGCAGTGATTTCGGGAGATGAGTACCGACCAGTGGCTCACATGTCCGAACCCGATCCGTCTACCGAGGCCCGGGAAACTAGGTACTCATCACCGTCATCCATCAACATAGGACCAGACATTACTGCGTAACAGTCCAACTTGCCACACCTCATATCACTACATCAACCAACAAAGCAGTGAAGTGCAAGATGAAGAAAAGAAAATCCAGTCAAAAGAAATGTAAAGTACTCAAAGAGAGACAGAGAGAGAGAGAATGAGAAAATGGTGAGATTCGGTAACGCGTTAAGATGAGGATAATGTGTGTGGGGATACATCTGCACCACTGACACCGGTTCTCAACCATATCACCACCTAGTCATTCTCTAACCACTACTTCTTCTTGTCCCACCGACCCCAACCACCCATTCTGCACCGCCTCACATGGCTCAAACCAACAGTTAAACACTTCATATATTGATGCCGTGTTTTAGTCTGGCCACCCCGGGCCTTTTTCCAGTCTGAACCTACTTCGGCCAACATTGTGTTACGAGACAGATGGCGAATAGGCATACGCAACACATGTCCCAACCAGACATCTCACTCCATCAAGGTTCACAACCTCGTCAACTGACTTACCTCTTCTCCCTCCCTAAAACACTACACCTAACTTCTGAGTTACTCACACCATAACATCACGGAATACGGTCCACACTACGAAAGTGGTGATGGTGGTCAAACACCTGAAACCTCATATCTTCCACCTTCAATAACCATGTTTCACAGTCATACACACAGTAGAAGAGAGTGGACTGCTGTACAGTACACACCACCCTTAATAGATAATCGAATATCAAGGTGGAGTAAGTTGGCAAGAGCCAGTCGAGTCTTTTGTATTCGCGCAGAGATTTCATCAGCCATTGACCAACGACCAACACACCACGGCTGACCACATTTCTCAGGTAAGTGAAGTCGTCGACACACTCAACCACTACACTCTGTATTGTTAGCTGAGGCACTGTTGAACACCAATCCTGGGGTAACAATTTGCATTTGGGTGATGAGAAACGCATCCCAAACATTCTCGAATCGCACTCGAGGTTTCGCGAAGCCTCTGCATCCTCTCAGCATCTTCACCTAGCAGAACTGTGTCCGCTGAGTACTCTGGTTCTAACGAAAATTTTCCCGCGATTACATCAACCTCTGTGTAGTCAGGTGAAGAGAGGAAGATTTCAATAAGAATATCTATGATAAAATTGAATAAGAATGGAGGTAGTGGGCAGCCTTGACGAACACCACTCGATGAGTACAGCTCTCCGGATATCTCACCATAGGCTCTGACACGCTCACAAGTATTCGAGTAGAGAGCCGCCAATAGGGTGATGTGATGTACTCACTCGGGACGCCTTTCAGTGAGGCATTACCATAAGACTTGTCGACCAACGGAGTCGAATGCCGCAATCTTCAAGTCGAGAAATACAGCTATTGTCGGACGTCGGTAAGGGTGCCAGTGTGCCAGAACCTGGTCAAAACACCCAAAGCGGGGTCCTAAGCCTGACTAGTTTTCTCGGGCTTTCTGTACTCGAGCTGCACTCAGGCGTCGAAGAATTATAGAACCTAGAATCTTAGACATTATGTTCTTCAGGCTGATTCCTCTGTGGTTATCACAAGAGGACTTCTCGCCTTTCTTGAAGACTGGGATAATCAGTGACTTAGACCAGTCAGAGGGGATCGTATTTGATTCCCAGATACTGGTTAACACTTCGGTTAACCTGACTAAGAGCACCTCACCACCATCCTTGTATACCCCAGGAGTTAGTCCGTCTGGTCCTGCTGCCCTTCCTCGTATCAGGTTACCTACAGCTTTGTCGACTTCTGAAAGTGTTGGTGCTATCTCTATGTTCCATTCAGGATTCGACTGGATAGCAGGCAACGGAATGGTGGCTGGAGTCCAGTTAGACTGTTCTTTGAAGTGTTCTGCCAATCGTTCCAGTCGTCTCCTCTGAGAGTGAATAGCAGACCCGTCCTTCTCCCTTATAATCTCATTAACTGTTGTTGACTTTTTCCCCCAGTTTCGTTAATAAGTCTTAATAACTGTCTACTGTTACCAACCGCCGCCACTTTTTCAATCTCTTTAGCCAACTAGGTAGTGTCATTAACCCATACGCAGTAGGTGTGGCTCATTGCTTACTGCGCGGATCTTTACAAGGTGGCTGAGTGCTTTTTGTTCCTTTATTGAACACGTGAAATTTTGACCGAAGATCTCAAGGTTACGACCAACACCATAATAAAGAATTCTGAGTAGCGTTCCAACTAAGAACGACCATTCTGTCATACTGAATTTTGGGGTTTAGGGGATTCAGAGATATTTTCAGTTAGTATTTATCATGAATTGACATCACTCAGTCAGTCCACGATTTTAGAAGCCTTTTTATTTCACTGATCTCTTTACAGGGAAAGTGAGCTATTGGCAAAAAAGACCCTCAGGACAGAGATAAATCTGCAGTGGTGGGATGAACAAAGTATTCTCTATAAAGTCAAAGAGAAACGAAGGGAGCCCAAAACTGGATAGTCAGTGAGACTAGTTGGATATTGACCAATCGGATATAAACGACTATCAACGCTTACATATCACACTCACAACCCATTAAGCATAACCAAACTTGCACTTTAATATCAAAATTATCCTGATCAAACCCATACTCTAAGAAAACAATAAACATCATTCAGTGTCAACATGAGACCTAGCATTATTGTATAACGCCCCACGTTTCCGTAACTCCTACCAGCATTTCAAGCAAAAAAGCACTAAGGTGAGATAACGGCAAATAAAGAAAAAAGTGGTCGAAGGGTGTAAGAAGTCATGAAAATAGAACAGGAAGGGATGAAACAACGAAATTTAATGTAACAATTACGACGGAGATAACGTATTGATGCACCCGTGTTGATGAAACCAATTCTGAGCTATATCACCTACAGTCATCAACCACCAATTCCTGCTGTCATAGAAAAGTCTAAATTCCCCTACACAGTTCATACCCACAACCAAATACTTCATAAACTCATGTCATGTTTTAGTCTGGCCGTCTTTAATCTTTTTCCAAGCTAAACATAGTTCAGCTAACATGACGGTCGGAGCTAACGATTTAAAACATATCCCAGTCATCGAAGTCGACGACGGCTCACAGCCTCATCAACCCGCTTCTTTAACCAAAAATTCTACACCTGACTTAAGCACTACTTGTGTCGGCACCATGATGCATCGCCTATGCTACGAAAGTAGGTAGTAAAACACCGGGAGTAATCTTGTGTCCCCCATCTTTATTGACGGTTTTGCAGTCATGCAGTGGGACAGAGAGAACTTATGTGCAATACATTCAGCAGTGAAATATCACGGTAGAGCCAAAAACGGTCTTAAATGGCAGAGGTCAAGCGAGCCTCTTGTATCCGCGCAGAGATTTTGCCGGTCACTGACCCACCAGGACTGATCCGACTTCCCAAGTGAAGTTGTCAGTATGGTTAACCACTTGATTCCCCATTACTAAACGAGGTTACAACACAGACTAGTCGTGGGGCAAAACTTCCCATCTATGGTGATGAGAAACGCATCTCAAACCCTCTTAAATTTCCACTTAAAATACTTAAAATACTCTGCATCTTGCCCGCACTCCTGAGTAATCAGTCTAACAAAGAGTCTCCTGCAATAAGATCAGCTCCAATAAAACCAAACGACGACAGAAAAACCTCAATAAGAATGTCTATCATTAAGTCGAGTAGGAATGGAGAGGATGGATATCTTTGACGGATACAACTCGATGTACGCAAATTATCTTACAAATCACCATAGGCTCTAACACCCACAGGGGTGAACAGGTACACAGCCTTCAACAGAATGTACTTACTCGCCACCCTTTTCTGAGACTGCCACAAAATCTCTCGATCAACGGGTTTGCTACCGCTAGATCACGAAATACAGCCAGTGTCAGGCGCCGGTAAGTGTTTTTGTTCGAGAAGCAGGTATAGAGGTAACATCTGGTTGACAACCCCACGTCCACGCCTGGTTTTCTTGGGTCCCCTGTTTCTGAGCTTCACGAGGTTGTCTAATGACGAGAGAACCTAGGTCACTAGACGCTATATTCATGTGAGTGATTCCCCTGTGGCCATCATAGCAGGATTTCTACTCTTTCTTGAAGACTAGGATCAGTAGAGATTGCAACCAACTATCTTTGGCGAATATATACCTACTTCTTTGGTGCTTTTCCAATACTTGGGGATTGACTGGTCCTTAAAAGTCATTTGGCAGGCCATTAGCTTACAATTTCTACTGTTAAGCAAAACAATACAACTCATTTGTCGTAAGTCTTTGTAGCCACCATCTTTTCTTACTACTACACTTTGAATGCTGGAGCGGTGATTATCACCGATGTGCCCTCGATTCCTACGTCTACTAACCAAGATTCTTAAGTAACTCCGCCCAAAGAAAGTGAATTCAACACAAACTGCTGATACGTATGCAGTGACATCTATTAGTTAACCTGCCTACAGAACTTGAGTAGAGATTTGGTGCTTTAAAAATGCATATCACTATTTCTACTCCAATTTACAAATAGAACCACAAATTTAAAAAGACTCATCGTAGACAGTATGTGCAGCAAAGCAGCATAAGCTTTCAAATAGCTGTAAGGAAAGAAAATCGACTTACTCAACTGCAACCAACATTTTGTATTTTCCACGTCTAGACAAACAGAAAACACCATCTGTAACACCAGCATATCTATCATAGACAGATATCAACACACGACCTGGTATCACTGCGTAACGGGCCAAATTGCCATAGCTCACATCAGTACATCAAGCAAGAATGCACCAACATGAAGGATAAAGAAATACAGAGGGAAAGGGAAGCAATAAGAAAAGTGAGAACACCTAAATGCGGTGTGACGACTAAGATAAAGATAACATGTAGATAATTTATGCCGATAATTTTCGTTCTCACTTGGACCTTAACCAGGACGTTCACATTTCTGTAAACGGCCTAGACCAACAGCTTAAGACTCCACGAGTTTATGCCATGTTTTAGTTTATCCAGCCTGAACTCTAGTCGGCAACCGAATTTTAGTTACCTTAGCACTGTTTTGTGGGAAATAAATGACTTACGCAGGGATCTGTTGCTAACCACAGGCAAGAATCTTGATGTGTTCAACACAAAAGTTGAATAAGGTGATGTTATTCTAACTGAAGACTACTTAATATAAGTTACCCAAAACCATAGTTAAGATACCAGTTGGTACACGCGATTAACAGACCTCACATCAAGACCGGGGGATAATCAACCGCAGCAGATATGGCTGAATGGTCTGAAGATTCCGCTATCAAGCAGAAGACCCAAAGAACAAGTCCTGCCACACTGGCTTTGATAACTTGGAACTGTTATTAGTCCTCATGTAAAAGGTGTCCCTCATATACTGATAACTGGAACTGTGTGAATTTTACAAGGAGTGTGTTTCGGATGGGTTTCTTAAATGTTGTGCAATTATACAGTTGTTTAGAATGGATGTAAAAAGATATAAAGGATGAACAGATGTCAAACGAAAACGAGGGAGTGGAAAAAAAACAAGCTGGAGTGAAGCGAAACGAAAGTAAAGGGGAGACCTAAATAGATTTAGGGTAGATACATGATAGAGACAACCTTAATAAATAAGGTTAGATCACAGAGTCAGAGAGAAATAAAGGGACTTAAGGGTAATGTAGCGCTAGCTACCGTCGTGGAGCCAACAACTGTTAAACTTTATGAGGAAAACATCTATCAGCCCTGCATCCATGCATTCATCTTGTTTCAACAGTGACTTTAACTGCCTCACACAATCAGACTGCTAATGGTGAAGTATCACGTTAACTGAAAGAAAATGAAGGAAAAACACTTACCTCTGACAGCTGTTTAGCCGGAGAAGAACTTCCATCAACAAAGATACACTGGTCAGTTTTTGGGTTACATCTACTTCCTTCAGGGCAACAACTTTTTCCATCTCTACAACACACACCCTAAGAGAACACAAGTTAAATAAACGCAAAACGTACATTATCATACGGACAACACCTAAAATCACCTATATCAACTTCGCAACATGATCCCTTAAGACAATTTTCTGGACACAGATTTGAATCAACTAAACTAGACCCATAACCAAGTAACAAGCCGATAATAACGGGTAGAACGAAGGGCATCGTTGGACGAGGAATCCCGCCTGAGAAACACAAACGACAACGACCTTATTTCTGATTGTTTCCAACATGTGCTGAATACTCAATGGATATGTCTCCAATATCCAACATCTTCTTATGAGTTAGTGTAAAAGACTGATTTCTTCGCGCTAGCTTCCAGGTCTAGCTGAGCAGTCCCAGCTTTTTGGTGGATTTCGATGCAGTACGTCTACCAACTCCACTGTTGTAGCTCTGGTTAGCCCGACAGACGGTTAGGTGTGGGTTAAATTTGTAGGGAGTGTGAGTTGTTTTTTCGGGGACTGTCGTGCAGCTGGTCTTCTCAGGTGTCGTGACAGGACAGCTGGCCGGACTGGTTGTGAAAAGAAGATAGAAAACATGTCCAGGGAAATCACTGGAGAGGAAGTGAGAAGAAAAAGAAGAAAAATAGGATTAGGTGAAAGGAAACGCAACGGAAGAAGAAACCACTGTAGATTTACGGTAGAGGGCTGATTGGGACAGCTTTTATCAAGCAGTGCGAGAACAATGTCAGCGAGAAGAGAAGGAGCAGATAACATTACAGGACGGCCTATGGGGTCCGAGATAGTAGTGCTAATAGTATATGGTAACTGGGGGAGATGTCTACTGAGAAGCAGGAGGTTGAGCCAAGTTCGCGATGATTGTAGGGTTACGAAGTGTTCGATAATGGGTTGTGTGGCGTTAGTAGGTTGCATCAGCCTAGTCCATATCCGACTTGGATGAACGCAAACCATGAATCGCTGCGTAACTGTCCAATCTCTCCACGGAGCCGTCAACAGATGGGACAGTAGCAATCTCGACGGGCAATACGTTCCAGTGGCCGTAAACTCGCAGACAGAAGTGTGAGTGCCTACGGGTTTTTGTCCTTTGGTAGGTGGTTCTCTTTGGGTCACCACGAGGAGCGCCACAGTGGCCGTTCGGTAGGATTCCACTGTTCGGATGATTTGGATTACTTAGTATTTTTACAGTCAAGTCACCACCTTATCTGTGATAGCTCAAAGAGTAGAGTCCCAAATCTTTCAGCCTGTCCTCATAGGGTTTTCGTCTCATTCCCACAGTAGATCCAACCACTCGTCTGCTACAGCTCCGGTATACGTAATGGGAGGTTAAGTGTAAGCTGGTTTGCCCTGGACCGTGGTGCAGTCGGGCTACCCAGATGTCCAGTTCCAAGACAGTCGCTGGGACTGGTTGTTGAACATAGTTAGGGATAATGAAGGGAAGACCTAGAAGGACAAATGTTTGGGGCAATCTACTCTCATCCAAGTGAGGCAAGGAGGGTACAAGGATCTGCAGAACTCGGTTAGATGAGGCTAAATCACATCAAGTGTGAGGGATGAAAAAGGCTTAAACGGTTAGTGTAGAAGGAAAACTGGTGCAGAGGTAACGTAGTTTGAATGGCGTGACAGCAGCTGATTTCTTCTTTTTAATTTGTATTCCAACTACGTATGGGTAGACCGTGGGCCTCTACGTAGCTGCCTAGCTCCTTCTTGAAACTTCCAGCAGATGGGGCGGAGACTACACTTTCTGGTACTACATTCCAGCGCCCGCAGACTCGAAGGGAGGAGCGTGAACGCACATGAGCTTTTGACCTTTGGTGTGCAATTCTCTTAAGGTTTTCACGAAGATCACCATGGCGGCCAATCAATAGTGTTCCTCTGTTCGGGTGACCTTGGTTATTCAGTATTTTGCAAACCACTATGGAGTCACCTCGTGCCCCTCGGTAACTAAGAAAGTATAGGCCTAGTTTGTTGGGTCTGTTCCCATATAGCTTTCGCTGCTCCCCAATAGCCCACTTTGTGGCTCATCTGTGAAGTTTCTCCAACAGGTTTGTACCTTTTTTCACTTGTGGGGGAGCGAAGACGTGATGGGCCTCCAAGTGGGGTTATATATGAGTCCTGTAGAGCTTCAAAAAGAGCTCTAAGGTGGGTGCACCAAGTTGTCCGCGCACAAAGTGTGGTACACCATATGCTTCTGGGGTATCTCGTGGGCGATTGTAATTAGTTTCCAGTTTTTCCGTCAGTATGAATCCCAGGTCTTTTTCTGCTACGGTAAGATAAGCGTTAGACTTTCTTGGCCACTCCCATGATCGATAAATCCCAGGTTTTTATAATTAACAAGTTTTAACCCGTAAGACTTTCTGTTTCTCTTTGTTGTAGTTAGCTGTTGTGAACGCAGTAACACTTCGACCAGTAGAAGGCCGTTCCATCCAAGGCTTATTCCTTCAGGGGCTTATTTTCCATCACAGGCAAGCCATCAATTAGAACTAGGGCGTTTTTCTGCCACGAAGGAGAAAAGAAACAAAGCAGCAGTCAGATGAATGAAACAAGAACTCCGAAAAGAGGTTCTTCCAAGGTATGTGTTTCTCCTTACTTAACTTTCTGCATCACGATGTTAGTTGTGCATGCTTTATTGAACAATTAAGAGAGTAAATTTCATTTCATTATATACTTTAGAATTTCCATTCATGCTTATTATGCCAGAAGGAGAGGAATATGCCATTAGTGTAAGGTGAGAATTTTTGGTAAAGTCTCCTCATCGCTACGTATGAATGGTCATTGCGGGTGTGTCGGATGTCTCGTTGGGCATGGAGGGGGTCTAGTATATCTGATATCGTAGAGGATAACGATGATGCACTTGCACCATCTGTTTCGCAGCATTCTGTTAATATATTAGACCGCTCAACTGAACATTTGTTCAATGGTACTGATTTCGAGTTTTTGTTTGCTCATTGACCAGTATAATATCCTGCCATATACTTTTCGTTATCTCCAATACTTAAACTGTCCGACGCAGGTGGATCAGCGATGCTGGGAATAATAAGTAGCGACAGTGTATCGGGACGCGTATGTAATTTCGGAGTCCGATATCAGAGTCTGACACGCCCACCAATCTAGTGAATCTACCGAAAGATAAGAATTTATCCAGTAATCGACCAAATCCGGGGGTTTATTTTGGAGGCCTTAATTTCGATAGGAAATCTTTCCCAACTCTGGAAGGACTTGACAGTGAGGAAATTTACACGAGGGGAGGACTTAAAGGCCTCAGTGTGGGCATGGTTGTGCTCCAGCTAGGACTTGCCACCAAATGTGATGGTAAATTTGTGCAGCTCATTGAAAAAACGCGTGAGGTTGATTTTGAGTCGTCTCATCCGAAGTGGTTGTAAGTTCAGAGTTCTGTATCCAGACTCTCAGTGCTACTTGCTATCGTATCGCGGTAATCTAGGTGGAAAATATCTGTGGACACCATCAGTTTCGGTTCGTTGCCGACGCAGACGCCAGTCAGAATAAGTGGGCAGTATTCTATCACGCGATGTATGCAGGTTATGCAGCGCAGTAACTTGGCATATTTAAAGCAAAAGTTATGGCTTACACACCACAACATGATTCTGTGTTCGTGTCTGTGATGTAACCCGTTTAGAAAATTTCAGGTTATCGAGTGTCTAGGCACAGGGTTATGGACACTTTTAAGAACAGGCATTTTCACAGACCGAAGATGAAGCTGGACGTTGACCGAGGGGGCGTTAAAACACATCCAGACACATTTGGACTGAAGTTTCCGAGCAGTAGGCCGTCCGGACATTGTATCAAGCTCACTGTCCAAACGCTTGGAACTGGGATAGATCAAAATGAATGAATGTGCATGCAATTTTGGGGTCATCAGCTAACACAAGTGGTTCACCGAGTGCAAGGCAGCTGCAAATATCATTGGTATGTACGCTGCTTCGAACTACGCCAGGGGCAATTGTCGTAGGTTTTGAAAAGTGTGAGTGCGACTAATGAGGAAAGATTTGGTGCATTCTAACAACGGATGCCAATTGACGATCTGAGATAGCCGTCGTTAGGTTTCCGGCTTGATTCCTCACCAAGTGGAATAAGAGGGCCAACAGCCGATCAGATTCTTATTTCACTTCGATCACCTGACTATCATGTAGGTTCATGACGCCATCTCAGATAGTCAGGTGATAACCAGTATTGTACTCTCGCTCTCCAACTCAGCTGGATTTAGATTCTGATGATAAGTCCTGACTAGGCCACTAGTGTGAATGCAATCAAGGGGTAGTAAAGCGTCATGAATTCACATGGCAACTGGGCGAAACCTTGGTGACTGAAGTGAAACAAAAATTTGGTCACGTTTTTTGAACCGGATTTATAATTGTGTAAGATAAATGGTGTTTTCCAGATATCAGGGTGTGCAAGTGATTCTAAAGGCATGGAAACTACTTTAAGAAATTTACGCTGAATACCTGAGTCAATATGTCTAAAGAAGTGTGATAGCGCTCCATTTGTTCCAGCACTAGGGTTGAGGTGCACTTTGTCGTCCTTATAGCTTGGTAAATCTTAGAGTACGTGGATTCAACCGCACCTATTGACGTTAGTGGAGAAGAGTAGCTTTTTGTGATTCGGATCGTATTGGCATCAAAGGTTAGATATGCAGGTTCTAGCTGTGAGTATGTCGCGCTAATCCGAATTAGATGTTACATTGCCCCTGCATTTCGTGGTATTTTATATCGGTACCCTTCGCGGCTTAGTAGATCTCTTGTCTATACAGAAGAAGGATTCGGAGCACATATTGCTTCTTTTTCTCGGAAACTCGACTTCCTGAGCATCATACCCCTCTTCTAAAACTTCAACGAATACCACCTTCAAGAGAAACCCATTTGGATATGCACAGCGGGACACAAGAAACTACTGCTGAGAAAACAGAGGGACCAAAACGAGAACTAACTTAAAGGAAAGTTATTCGTCTGTTTCACTTGAATTAGCCGTGAACTAACGCTGTTGACCCCGAGACATAATAGCCCTGCAATATACTTTACCTAAGCTGTAAGGAAATATTTGCTGTTAGCTGTAATATTTGATACACAGGTCATTGCCGAGCCCTCTGTAACTGCTGGTTTTATTGCTCGGCGTTAACAAACCCAATAAACGGTTAACTACCGCTGCTCCGTCATGGTCCAGTCCAACAAAAGTATATGTGCTGAGCATACA